AGAGTTTCTGCGCTGTGACCCAACAGGGCCTCAGCTGTCTCCTGGAAGCACGTCACCCACTGGTTATCCCCGAAGTCAGCTAAGTTGGCCTGAGAGAGGAACAGGCCGAGATGATGAGTGGGCGACAGATCATTTATATGTGTATGTGTGGTCATGCATATTCACGTAGGTTACAATAATTCTCATCACAGTATGTATAACAACCACTATTGATGTACACACTTACAGAAAGTAAGAGTCTGTATTTAAAGTTGGGGAACTCTTTGTTACACTTTTCGCAGCGGTACAGCCCGTTCTGCTGGTCGATGACCTTCTTGTTGCAGTCTGCAGATGGACAAGCTTGGTACAGACAATTCTCCTTACGAATGTACAGCACTGTCGCCACGCAGCTGAAATACTGTGCCTGAAAATGGAACACAAAAACATATTTATCTTATTACAGGGGTTGAGCTCGATTGCTATAAACACCAAATCATATTGCTGCAATCGGATTGTCTCGGAAGCTGCGGTTAATCTGAAGGTGCTGTGCTAACCAGCAGCAGTTTAATTGCATTTTGTCTATTATATTTTTCAGTCTATTACTCTTCCATATTAAATGTGAATGTGGCAAATCAACCAAATCACCCGAGACTTGTTTTAAGAACTTTGCATTTAATGTGCAATTTTTGCAACAGTCAAACTATTCCTGCTGGAACCGGGAGACAATCTAGCATTGTTTCACCAGCTAATTAACACCAGTCCTCAAAAGCATAATTTAAGTCGTGTCAGTAAAAATATGGCAAATTGACAGCATACAGCTGGAGGAGAAAGGAACTCATGGCAGAATAATAGTCAGTGCCAGTGTTATGGATCATTTAGTTTTCCTGTTTAACTGGCAGCGTTCTCCTTTGAATGTTTGCAGAACTGGCAGATGTTAAAACAAGAAATTAACTGTAGCCGTCCTTGTAGCTGGCTCATATTTGCCTCCTTTCATTCAAGCTTTCAGAGCAAAGCCATCTGATTGCTTTTTTTTTTTTTTTGGAGTTCTAGAGTTGAATAAAACCGTTACATCATCTTGTAGACTCTTGAGCCAAGATTAAAGTTAAAGGTATGCGTATGAACACTGAAAAAAAAACAAACAGATCTGTACAAAAGTTTGAAACAAAAGTCTAAACAAATAATTGTAAATATAAATGCACTGTTCTTTCATAAAGTTATAAAAATAGTCCTGACTCAACAGGACTTATAAGACAGGTCAACAGTAATCATTACAAACTGACAGCTGATGACATTTCCAGTGCTTTGTCATTCTATAATTCCTTACATTTTGTGGTAGCAATTAACAACTGCAGGCTGCTTTAAGGCAGCTGACAAAAGATCTAAAACTGAAGCTAACCACAAAAGACAAACAAACCTCCCATATCACTACAAAAGAGCTTGAGGAAGGTTTAGCTGACAGCGAAGAGGTGGTGCACCTTTCCCTTGTGCAGTGTTGATGCGTAAACAAGACTTACACAAAACAAGTTATCAGTAGGAAACATGGACTGCTACGTCATTCGGGAACTGAACATGTAATCTTTCAAAAAAAAAAAGGAGCAGCATTTAAAAAAAAAAAAAAACGACAAACAAACAAAAAACAACAGAACACAGGAGTGGAATAATTCAACAAATACCAAAATCTGTATGCAAATATCACGCAGTCAATCAAGAGAGTGAAGCTAAAAATAAGTTAGCTTCTATAAAGCAGCACTGATGCACAATCACTTTTACTGTTTGTGATTTTTAAATTGATAAAGAAAAAAGGAGTGCACTAATATTAGCGTATAAATTTGAAGTTTGCTGCAGGAGCTCTGTTTACTTCTTTTCACTTCAAAATATGTGATGTGTCCAAACCCGTGCATAGAAAAGTGACACAGCAAAATGAAGGTTTGACTTCTCAATTCATTCACTTGCAACAGATAACCGAGGAGCTCTTAGCTTAGGAAGCTGCATTAATATATTTACAAAGACAGACAACCTTTACTGTAGACATTACAACTTTTCTATTGAATGAGGCTGCTTAGAACTTCGGAATGTTTTAAAACTTTTCTTTTATATTGAGCGGCACATTAAAAGAAACATTCATCAGCGCTCCAGGTGAATAACCCTCAGTGGATGTGTTGTTTTCATCGAAATATTGTAAGTATTCTTTTGTGTTCAAGTGATGAAATTAAACGATAAAATCCAAAAGAAATGTGAGATCGAGAGGAATAAAAGTGGACCTTTCAGAGCGGACAGTTGTAAAGAGGGTGAAAGAGAAATACTAAATAAAATAAAAATACTCAGATCAAATTTGGCATCAACTGTAAAACTGTTGCCAACAAGTTGGCCCAGCTGGTAGATGCATGCTGTTTACACATCTCTATTTGACTTCCAAACAATCTTGGAACTGTTTAAAAAGAGAGCAGAGGGAGTTTGAGAATTCTTTGCATAATAAATGCAAGATGAGACAGATCTCTTTCTCTCTTCCTCTCTAGTTTTGAAATAGTGCTAATGTGCTAATGTATGCGCACGCACAAGCACGCTGACATATACACACGGCTGCGGTGCAAGGTTATATGCAAAGACCCAAACTTGTGCATTTGCAATACACATACAATGAGCCGAACTTCCTTCTGTTAGGAATTTAAATTAAAGTGTACACAGTCAAACAGCATCAAATTAAAATGCAGCGATATTGCTGTAATTTAAACAGATATTAGCTCCTTAGGCAGCAGAACTCACACTGGTAAAATCAACAGCTAAAAAGGAAAGAAATGCTAATTCTATGGGGGGAAAAGGCTATTCTCTCATCCTGTGGAGACGCTCGGCATTTGATTTCCATAAATATAAATATAAAGAATGCACACAGCACAGGAACTGCATCTCGTTGGGAAAAGGCACGCACGTGGACGTGCCTGCATGCAAACATACGCGCGGTTAAGCACGGGGTGATGAATGTGATATACCTGCACATGCTTGGAAAAACCACAGAAATTTTTTTTTTCCTCGATTCACCAGAGGGTATTTCTTCTATCAGGAGAACAGGTCTTAAACAAGATGTTGGAATTGAAGCCAGAATTTAAAATGAAATGCTTTAAAATGCATTCTAAACAACAACTACAAGCTAGAGCTGGGCCAGACTCATTACTAATGTTGGCCTAAATGAGTCTATCAAAGACTCTTTCTAGGATGCTGGCCAAATTCGCGCGAGCACACACACACACACACACACACACACACACACACACACACACACACACACACACACACACACACACACACGCTGACAGAGCAATGCTGTTCCTTCGTTATACAGCCCACACTCGCTGTAAAGTGTTTAGTAAGAGCATGGAATGTGAAAAGGCCGTTGTGTTCACAGCGTCGCTCATGAGAGGGTTGATGATGTCCTCTGTCCTCATGACCTCTACAGATACTGCCAGTCAGACTTAGAGCTCTTTGACACTTTTTCCCCCTCTAGCTAACACTGACTCACAGCCTCATAATCTGTCCACCCATCCATCTACCCAGTACACATGCCACACGGCAAGAACCCCTCTTGAACACTTAGTAAGGCTTTTTTTTTTTTTTTAATTAGGAGAATTCCTCCCGTTAGCAACACCGCTCTCCCCCTCAACACTCCACTCCCATTTTCCGCCTGCCTCATCACGTTTTGCAGACTTGGGCAGATTGGAGCGCTGGAAGGCTGGAGAGGTGGAAAGGCGATGAGTGGGGAAGGTGGTAGAAGGGTGGACGTAACAAGAGAAGAGAAAACAGGATGCTTTTTGAGAGCACGGGGTTGTTGAGGACTCCTAATGTTGGCAGATGCTACAGACAATGAGCGGACAGAGGTCATCGCGATCTGAACCATAGTGATTCCCACAAAACTAGACCACTCTAAATAAATCCCACTGCATTTGTCATCATCTTTCCGGTTCTCCCTTTGTGTTTTATTCTCTCCCTCAGTATTCCAGTGCATACACAAAAGCCTTAGGGCAAAGTCTTAACCTTAAGCACACTGAGGAGCGCCTGGAAGAGTAGCATGACTAACGCTGCACATAAAAACAGACACACTACAACGCAAAAATATGTGTGCACACTTACCTAAAGATTCAGAAACATTAACACACACACACACATAGCTCTGAAAATAGTTTTCATTCTTATCACACCAAATCCCTGTGTCACCTTCTGGCACCTAAATGCAATTAAAATTTGTATGTGGAAGGGCAACCAAGTGAAAATCTACTTCACATAATTGACGTGGCTGCACATGCCAACTTTAATGCTTGTCCCCAAACCCCAACACACACATTGCTACATTAATTAGAAATAGCTTGTATGCTTGCATCCGTGCGCGCGCGCGCACACACACACACACACACACACACACACACACACACACACACACTTACATGGAGGAAAACAGGTAGAATGTCAAATTAGATTCCTTCAAACTATAAGCTAATGATTTGAATTCCATTATTATAACCAAAGCCGCAGCCTCAGAGTGCACGAGAGACAAGCTTCTTAAAGCCTTTCAATTACAGAAACGGTAGGTGGTACGCAGGGCAGACAGCTAAGAAGACAGAAAAGAGGACAGGACAGAGGATAAGAAGAGGGGAAAAAATAAGAAAAACAAGAAAAAGAAGGATTTCTCACCTTTCAACCCTCATCCTGACTTTACCTTTTCTTAATAACCCTTGTCACTTCTATCCAGTCCACTCTTCACTACTTTCTTTACACCTTCTTCTGTGGCCTTGGTCCCCGCCCTCCCCCGAGAAAAAAACATCCCTCAGTGCAGCTTTGTAAGTGACATGTAGCTTGAGTGGCTCTGCCTGCCTTTTTCCACTCATCAGCTCTCAGTCTCCCACATTTTCTATCTGCGCCACTTCCCTTCTGGTAATGTTATGCCCTATAGGCTTCCCACACCTCCAAAAACATAATTAGAAATTTTTATTAGAAGCGACATTGATCTTGAAGCTACCCGTAAGTGGCTTCCAATTAAATGCGAGGAATGAAGCAGACTAGTCTGAACTAAATCTCATTAATTAGAAATTTTAGGAGTGGCGCATCACATTTAGATGCACTCTGCTTTTGGTCAAAAGGTTGATAATTCTGTGCAATGACACCTCTTAAAATGGCACACATTCAATTTGAAGGTTCTTGCATGCTCATCCAATGGCGTTTGGCTTTACTGCTAATACGTAAGCATCGCTATCTCCCTCCCACAGCTAAAACAAGAGAAGCATGACTCTAATCCATGAAGTCATAGCAAGGCACAGCCTACAGCTGCTCTGTTTACAATGAATGGAAGACTGACTGTGGATTTGTGTTTGTCTAAATGCTTACATTTAAATGAGGCTGAGCAGCAGTCAGGTCTAAAAATCACTGGAACCATGTCTGATTACAGAAAATCTTCTTTGATAGTTTTTAATAAGAAGCCTTCAATCACATTATGATCCTGTGATGTTTAGCAGTAAGGATTGCTTTCATCGTGCATTTTGTGGGTTCAGTTCAGTGATAATGGCTTTACTGGCATGGCCATATTCAGACTCGGCCATGCTGTGTATGAATTCTGACATGAATTTAATAAGAAATTCTGGTTATTTTCTTACAGGACAGGAAAATACAGCCTTTTTGTTTATAGAATTAAATGTAACTTTTCTTTTCTAACTCCCTGTCAGTTATTTGTACTTTGTGATTTCCTGATTTTTCAGCAATTTCCCTTTCATATAGCGTATTACATTGCATATTAATTACATACAAAGTGAAATATTTCAAGCCTTTTTTTTAATTTAATTTTGAAGATGATGGCTTGCAGCTCTTAATGCTCAGAAATCCAGTATCTCAGATTATTATTCCACGATTAGATAAAAAATGTTGGGGCTCCTTTTACTGCATTGGAGTGGCGCTTGTGGCAAAGCTGAGGTGTTACTAAATTCCAGATCGCTTGCTGCCTTCAGCTCATCTGGATTTTGGGATTTTCCTCATCTTCCTCTTGAAAATACCCCATAGATTCTCTGTGTGGTTCAGGTCAGGCGAGTTGGCTGGTCAGTGAAGCACAGTAATAACATGGTCAGCAAAGCTTTTGGCAAAGTATGACGTACTTCAAAATGTCCTGTTTTACGCCCGCATTGACTTTGGACTTTGATTAAACACACCTGACCAACCTCCACCAAAACCAGCAGATGACACGGCACCCAAATTATCACAGACTGTGGAAACTTCACACTGGACTTCAAACACCTTGGACTCTGTGCCTCCTTACTCTTCAAGTAGACTCTTTGACCTTGATTTACAAATGAAATGCAAAATGTACTTTCAACTAAAAAGAGGACTTTGAACCACTCCAGTTCCTTTTCCTTAGTACACTAAGACCCTTCTGACACCATCTCTGGTTTAGTAGTGGCTTTACATCACTGATATTAGCAATGCAACAGTTGTACCTCCTTTCCTGAAGACATCTGCGTGATGAGTAGGGCTGCCACAAACGATTATTTTGATAGTCGACTAGTCACCGATTATTTTTGCGATTAGTCGACTAATCAGATCATGCATCCATTGGACGTAAAA